GATGGGGGTTAGAGCAACCTGGTCTGGTGGGAGGTGTCCCTGCCCGTGCAGGGGGGTTGGAACTCGATGATCTTTAATGTGTCCTCCCCCCCCAACCCACCCCGAGATTCCGTGATCCCAGCTCCTCACAGCCAGACCACTACTGCTACATTCAGAGGTTCTCCATCCACCAACAGCCTCATCACCTTCAGCCCAGACAGGTAAAACTGGCCCAACTTGTCTAAAAAAGAAGCATAAAAGGAGCCATAAGCAGTGGGGTGACAGTGCTGGGTCCAGGGCCTGCTGGGACCTGCCATGAGCGAAGCCTCCGTCCACAGCAAGTTCCTTCCCAGCTCCTGTTGCTCCTCAGAGCTCAATCCTCTCCCTGGACCAGCATGGAGGGAGTTTATGGGAGCCCAGGCACACATGAGGTGCTGGGTGAAGTGCCAAGGGACTGAGGGAAGGACCAAAGCTCATTAAAGTCGGCAACAACTCAACCTACTTCCAGAGCTTCTGGCAGCCAGCGGGTTCTCCCCGCGGGAGTGGGAGGCAGCGATAGCGGCGGTTGTGCCACCAGCACCGGGTTATCAGTGCTCTGGGGACAGAGGGGCTGGCAGGGCTCCACGGGGCTGCTGCCAGGGGGGAGCTCTCCTGCCACAGCACCCGCTGGGCTGGGAAAGGCCTTGGCCCAGAGTGTCACCTCAGCAGCAGCATAGCCAGTGTGGAGGGGACACATGCTGGATCAGGAGCTCCCCAGGGACTGTGGTGGCTCGTGCCACCGAGCACAGCTGGAGGAGAACAGCTGGGTGACCCTCAGCACAGCCCTGTCACAGCTGTGCCCCGCGCCGGATGTCAAAACATGACTTCTCCATTTCAGAGCTTTCTGGGCAGTTGTGGTTTTTTAAAATCGGCTCTGGAAAACCCCCATTTTGTTGTCTCTGAGCTTGTACCTATTGTCTAGTTTTTAAAAGCAACAAGGAAGCCGTCATCCCACCTTCCTGCACCTCAGCACCACTCACAGCCTCATGGACATGTCAGACAGCAGCTGCCACCCCAGCCAGGGGACCACCAGCCACCTGGGCTGGGCCAGTGCCAGGCCCCTTCCCTACAGCCATGGGGCTTCCTCCCACTGTAGAGGAGCAGGACCACGCAGGACACCAGCTCTTCCCTCCTCCCAAATCCCTCTGCCCCCAAAGCAGAGAGTAAAGGTAAACAGGATGTTCCTGTAGTGTTTGACCAGCACTAAAAATAATTAGAAATCCATGGTTTGGGATCATCCCAAAGGATGAGCAGAGGTACCCAACTCACAACCTCCTCTTCCTTGGTGCCCAATTATCTGGGTGTTGATTAACTTTATGCTCCGTGCTGTTTGTATCAAACTGCAGCACAGCCCTGATGGGAGGCACAGGAATAACATTTTCCAGACCCAGCTGCTCTCCAGAGCCAAGAGGTGCCAGCTGCAGGATACAAAGGGTAAAACATCTGCCAATGAAACGTCCAAGTTCGAACTGCTCTTTCTGCCCCCTCTCCCCCACTCATGCACACGTGATACCTTCAGGAGTTAACTACAGAAATGTCAACAAACCCCTTTTCTTGAAGCCTTTCCTAGGGTACAGAGGCATATCCTGGGATAAACTGCTTAATTACAAAATCCCGGTGTGTTTCCCCACAGCCCACCCGAGCCACCTTCATCCGAGATCCCCAAGCCCCCAGGGAACAGAGCTGCCACAGACAGGACCTGCACCACGGGGTATTTATTGCAACAAATCCCAGGCTGTGCAGCAGCAGCTTGAGGCTGTTTGGTGCACACAGAGCTCGGCAACAGCCACAAACACCCGCACAGAGGGAGGAGAAATTTCCAAGTCAGGGTCAGCACAAGGGGCTCCAGCATATAAACTGGAGAGAGAAGGAAAAAGGAGCTTAATAAGGGTGTTGAGAAGGAAGGTGGTTTCAATTAGAAACAGGTTAAATGAAGCAGCTGTAGGCAGACAGATGATGTTCTTGGTGAGCACAAATTCCTCCAACATGGATCTAGACTAAGCTGGGTGTGACCTCAATGCTGCTTTGTGAGGGAATTCTAGGAGGGACAGCACTCGAGCAAAGCATCCATTGCCTGCAGCACCTACACACTAACTCACTACATGGACACACCTTGGGGCTCCAGCAGCTTCCCCCTCTCACCAGCCCCCCAGCACGGGGCTCACAGTCTCTCTTTTCACACTACAACTGGCAGGCAGGCACCAGAGCCCCTAAAACAGGCAGGAGGATTCAAAGGGTTGGGGTTACACAGGTGTCAGGGCAGCCACGGGACGTCTTGGCGCTCTGTGGTCCCTATTTCTTTCTGCCTCCTCTTTCTTTGAGTGCCAGGTGAATGAGGGAGCCACTGGTCATGTTGTAATAGGCCAGGGAGTTTGAATCCTTGATGAAGATGCCCTGAGAGGAGAAGAAAAGAAAACAAACAAACCAATAGTCACAGCAGAAAATTTAGCATTCCCTTCCCACAAACCCCAGATGCACAAAGCCCTCCTCTCAGAACATGGTGATGACAGAGTGCTGCTGGCTTTGAAAAACCCTGGAGAGATCCCAGTGTATCTGAAGGTGGGCACTGGAGGAGGTGGGAGTGCTGGAAATAACGCAGGAACACAAACAACCCTCTACAAATGTCGATAAAGACAGTCACAACAAGTGAAATTATTCAGGCTCCACTCCCCCTTCTTTTTCATCCCCCCTTAAAAAAAAACCCAGTTGTGTTTCCCTTCCTGCTAAGAGTTAACAGGTCTCTCTGCCCACACATGAACTCCTGAGGAGGCAACAGCCCAAAGTTCACTGCTTAGGCAGCAGGTTGTGTCTGTGCACATGCGTGACTGGAAACAAGGGATTAAAAGGGAACAGTGCCTTTCTAACAGCTTGAGTCTCAAGAGGAAGAGCCTGATCTCTTCCCTTCTGTGGTTTGGAGACAGTCTTTCCAGAGCTGCCAGGGCTTGGGGGGTATTCTCACCCACCTTCCAGACGTGACAGATGAGCAAGTGCAGATAGTTGCATTTAAATGTCCAAAAACCCCAATAAAACAACAGGTTGAGTTCAGAGAAAGACATTAACCTTAGAGGCCTCATCTGCAGCAGGCACATCCTGCTGTAACAGAGAGGAGCAGCATTCCCTCTGCTCTTCCCAACATCTCTGCATCTACAACTTCTTGTAGAAAGTCAGTTTGTGTGTCAAAAAGCACTGACATAACGAACAGTAGTTGAAGAGCTGGCACCCACCTCATACTGCAGCTTCTGTTTCCCAGCTGGCATCCCTGTGGCCTCGTGGATCTTCACCTTTATAACAGACACCTAGGAAAAAAAAAGGGCACACTCAGGGTGGGCAGAACTGCTCCCCCAATGGGCAAGGGGCCACAGTGTGGGTTGCACAGGTCCTGCCATGCAGGACAACTGCTGTTCTCAAAGCACAGAGGCTTGGAGGCAAAACAAGGGGGGCAGAGGCCAGGTTAATGAGCAACGTGCCTGGTCCGAGAGCGGCAGGGTGAACACCAACACCTGGCCATTCAGCTTCCATTCTGTCTTGTCCTGCATGTTGGGAACCTGGACCTTGACTGTGACTGGACCCTGAAGGAAACAAAGATAAGGTTTGGTACAGGCAAGGAGGCTCAGGCTATGATAACAGAGCAGCAGACACATTATTTATAGACACCCAGGGGCAGACAAATTCTCTGTTTTCAAAACTAGCCACATATCTCGACTTCCCAGTGAACACACAGATGTATTTGCCTCAACCCTGAGAACGCTGCTATCAAAATAAAACCCCTGGCTGGATTTCTCCCTCTGCATGCCACTCGGCATGGCCCACACCTTCCCAGCATCAGGAGGAACGTAGGGAGTGTTGAACAGGAGGCAGCTCCTCTGTGCAGATGTCCAGGAAAACTGCTCAGCCTTCTTAAAGGACTTAAAACTCAAGCCACCATGTCAGTACTCCTCAGGAAGGAACTCAGCCTAGGATTTGGTAGAGGTCGTTACAGAACACCCTGCATTACTGCACTATCATGCTCACACTGATAAATGAAATCTCTTTGCATCTCCAGCTTAACGCTCCTCTGCTTAAAAGCTCATTAGCAGCTTTAGCTCCTCTTCACATCACTGGGCACCTACCGCTCACCGCCGGTAATTACAGCGGAGCAGGATCTGCTACACGCCTGGGAGCTGAGACACAAGGCAGCTCCAGGAACGGCAGCAGGAAGGAGCCACCTCAGATAGTCCCTCCCTTGCACATCACCCCCCCTTCATGCAGCCAGCTGGCTTCACATCCCCCTGGGGAGAAGGAGGCTGCACAGCCTGGTGGGATCAGGGCTCCAGCGCTTCCCAGGCAGGGCCAGCCCTCTCACACACCTTGTTCCGGCGCAGAAACTCCTCCTCTGGAATCAAGCTATCCTCACTCTTCAGTTTCTTGGAGACTGGCTCATCCTCCATGGGTGGTGGTGGGTGAACAGGAGGCATCGGTGCTGGGGAAGGCACCGGAGCCACGGGAGGTGCAGGAACAAATGCTGAAATGGGATGGGGGGGGATACAGCACAACCCACAGTCATCCACTGAGCGTGGGAGACACTCCCTTACACAAAAACTCTCTTAGCAGACCAGTAAAGCAGAGCAATAAACACCACACAACACATGGAGGAAGTTAACACCACCAACAGCAACATGCAAACTTCAGGCTTCGGGAGGTGTTTGACATGGGGAAGCAGCCCAGAAAAAGACAAGCAGCACTAGAGCTTCCTGCAGATCTTGCAAAAAAGCGAGCGCTCGCAGTCTGGCGCACAGCAGTGCCAGCAGCTCCCCTGGGAAGCCATGAAACAAAGAAAGGATTGCTTTATACATTCTGCTTTTCAACTTAAAAGCACCAACTGCTATGAAAGGGGCCAGCCAACAGTTTTTCCTCCTGCTGCAGGAACTTCTGTAACAGGCTGCAACACCCGGTGAGGCACTGGCAGTTCCTCTTTTCTCTGGTTCCTTTTGGAAAGCAGTTGGGATCCACTGCCCCTGGGCAGGCTCCCGGGGACACAGACAGAAAACAGAGGAGACAACTCTCTGTGTTTCAGGCTGCAGGAGTCTTGAGCCCAAAAGTGCTGCTGCCAGGTAAGTCATGTGGCACATCCCATGGTTCCCAACGGTGGGACCCAGGCTCTGCAATCCCAATTCCATTCCCACACCATGATCAGAAGCTCAGAAGGCAACAAAAATCCAAGCTCCAAGCTCACATTACCCAGGAAGGAGCTGCCAATGAAGAAGAAGGAGTTACTGACCTGTGGGGACGATCATGGGCGGCGGGCGGGGGCTCATGATGGGCGGCGCGGAGGGCGGCATGGGGACCACGTTGATGCGGGGGGTGTGGATGATGGGGGGCATGGGGGTGGCTATGACTGACCCCGGGGGCAGACGCACCACCGAGGTCATGGGGGGACGAGGCATGACCGGAACGGCGGCAACAACAGCGGCGCGGACGGGAGGCGGCATCTGCAGAGAGAGGGCAACGTCCTCAGCAGGTGCACACGGGAACACCCCCTGATGGACACAACCCCAGCAGCACACAGGGCACGGCTGCTGGCCAAGGGCTTGGAGCCCACCACATGGCCAGCCCAAGCTGCAGGTCGAGGGGCACAGAAGCCTCGTTAGGAGATTGAAGGGTTCCTCCTTCACTCGTCATTCAGGTATCAGACCAGGGCAATCTCAAAAGAAGGAGCTAGTTCAGAGTCAGGCAGCACAAGCCTTGGGGCAGTGAGGCACCTGCAGCTTTTCTTACTTTTGTTCTGCATTGCCCCTTTTTGCACTCAAAGGAAGGCCCCACCCATTCCTCTGCTAGCCAGAGTCCCTTCCTCCAAGATCTCCCTGCCCAGTCCCTTCCTCTGCCCGGCTGATTAAGTCTTTTTTATACCTCCATGGATGAAAAGCTCCACCTCAGTCTTATTTTCCACTTTAACAGGAAGCTCAACAGGGCTCCTCTGATGGCTTAAGAGTAATTTGGAAACAAACTTCACTCAAA